CAGATCTGAATGGATGTGGTGCATTTAAAATAATTGTACTATAGTTATTCACCAGCGTACATTACATTTGGAATCAGAGGTTGCTTTTCTTTCTTTACAAGGGGAAAACATTGTAAGTGAACCCGTAATTTTGAGTACGCTAATTCCAAGACATTTGCAGATTCTGAGTGGTTTCCTGGAATAACGGCCTCTCTCAAGAGGAACGTCAAATGCATTTAATCAGCCACATTTAGAGCTCTGCAGCATCTGCAAATGAATTATTAACAACCTCAAATGCTTTTGAATGATCCAAAAGTCAGGAATAACGTGGCTCTTCAGATAATCAGCTCTGATTCAGGGCTTCTCCTTTCCACCTTATGCACTAGAGGCTCTGCACCTGCCTGCTGCTGCTCACTGCAGATCCTTGCAGCTCGGATGAACCTCTCCAGAGGCACTTGGGTAGCTGAACAAATGCAAAGTGCAGCTGGCATCCAGCTGTGTCTGCATAGATTTATGTATTGTGTAGTAAGTAGCCACTGATTGGTGTTGTGCACCTTGGGGGGAGGTAAGGGATGCTCCAGGGAACGCAGGTCCCGCACGGCAGTCATCGCTGCACATGACACTTGTCCACAGAAGTCCTCAACTCCCACAATCCTACATCTGATCTGAAGTGATGGAAGATCGGTCTGGGTAAGGTTTGTCTGGAGAAGCAGGTTTGAGTCATGAGTCTTCTCGTTAGCTAGCAACAGCAAGGATGGCAGAATAAAGCTGGGAAGCAAAGCATGGCTCAGGACGCCCGGGTTCCAGCCTTGGCTTGCCCTTTGCCATGCTAAGAAAATCACAAGATGGCTTATGTTGCTTTGCCTGCAGAACAGGTATCTGGTAAAGTGCTTTGAGCGGTACTAACGACTGTCACATTATATGTGACTCAAACCCCTTCCACTGCAATGTGGAAATACCCTTTTAGAAAAAGATGATTGCAACAGTCTAATTTCTTCAGATGAGGTAATGTGGTTACATGAATTTTTGAACAACAAATGTCATTTAAGAGCCCCTGCTGACAAAATAATGGAGCCACCAAGGTGCAGATGTAAACAAAACACTTGCAGTAGCATGTGAGTTAATGAAAAAACAAAAAGATGTTAACTCTTATGGATACAATGAATTCTAGTTTATGTACAAAGAAATCCTCCCTCGGGTCCTGGGGAAGGTGTTCAGCAGCTTGTTATATTCAGACCAAATGCAGAATGTCTGTTCAATCTGCTTGTTGGGGAAGACCTTAAATATGAGGACACGACAAAGCTTACTGCAGGTTTTAAGAGGAAGATGTGAGCAGAAACATTTTTCTTTGCTGGACAAAAGCCTCTGATAGAGAGCACAAACCAGCTGCATCTGGGTTGCTGTCAAATCATAGCACAAAAGAGTAATTAAAAATCTACTCCTTACTTTGCCTGAGTAAAAATTGCAGGGTGGTCACTTAATTTTGTATGTAATTATAATAATAAGCTGGATCATGTGGCTGTTAGGGATTACTCATTTGGCGTGTGCTACTAACAACATGACTGTTTGTCCCACTATGCTCATCAGGAACGTATGAAGCACGGACAAATGGAAGCAGAAGCGGCTATGGCTGTTAGGAACAATTAAGCCCTACACAGCCTCTCTGCAGGGGGCCGCTCCAGAGGGCCGTAATGGAGCAGATCCCGCATTACGGTGGACGTGCGGATAATGCTGTCTTGCAGATTCAGGTACAACTATCTGCTCTTCTGCAGGAGCTTTGGCTGCGTAGCAAGAGGCAGCTATAGCTACCAAGAGGGTGCTGCCTATTGCCTATTTGCTCATTTAATTTCAAAATGGGATTGGGGATTTGTTTGTTAGAAATAAAGTACTTTGCAGGGAGATCAGCTGTCTGCTTTCTGTGGCTGGAAGAGGAAAGGGTACTGATGTCACTTTTTAGCTTGAAATCAGCTTGAAGCTTCCACGTAGTTCTGTTATACAATGTGCAATTCTGTTATTTCAAGCTCAGCATCCCTTTCCTTGTTTTTGAAGATGAACCACAAACAACAAAGTCCCTGATGGCTTGCACACCCTGTGAGACGGTCTTCCAAAAAGTGATGTAGTTACTCATGCCAAGGTTTGGATTTTCCAAAGCTTTTTTCCTCTTCCACATGGTCTCTGAAAGAAACTGTCCTTTTATGCATAAGTTTGTACCTCTGGCTCCTTAGATCCAAAACCATTCTGGTATCCAAAATTTGCATTGAGTTCTCCTTGAGTAAGAGCCCAGAGGCGGCGTTTATGCCAAACAGCTCCCTGGAACTTTGGTCAGCTCGGGAGCCTGGGTAGCTCGGGGAAGGGAGGGCTAGGGGCTGTGGTAGCAGGGGAATGAAATGAAGGAACTTAAAACTACCACCAGTCATCGCTGACCATGTTTCTTTTGTGTGGCGTCTCTTCTAGGTCCACCGCAGATGTTGTAAATTAGATATATTATTGCCTGGGCTATGCTCAAGGAATAATGGCTGAAATGGGGACCTGTGAACCTCTGTCCCTTCGCTGGAATCATTCTTTTGAAAAGAATTAGGTCAGCTAAAGAGGTAGGACTAATAATAACATGCTACCTTAACATACCTGCTGTAAAACATCATTGTTTTGATGCAGTCATCCTTTTACATTGACTTTAAAAAAACCCAAGCCCTTTAAACCATAAACCCCACTGCCTGATGGTTTTGTTTTCCACTTGAAGAGAGCATTGAATACATTCTGAGCCGAGTCCCTCAGGAAGGTCTTCAGGTCTGGGGACCTTCAGTGGCTTTCAGGGAACTGTGGGGCTGCAAGTATCATCACCTCAAGGCAAGAGGAGCACCACAGTGCAGTTCAAAGGCTGGGTTGTGGCGGAGGCTATCCAAGTGCAATTTTAGGACAAAGCAGAAGCAAAGGTTGGCACTTCAAAGCATTTTCATCTTCCTTTCCTTGGGCACGGTGATGCGTCAGGCTGCCTCCCGGCTGCCATAGCAACGTGTTGCTCATCCCTGCATCACAGGGGCGAGGGGGATGCTCCTCCGAGCCTGGGGCTCAGCAGCTGCTGGGGGAGGAAATGGAAAAGCTCCTTTTTAAAGCACCATTGTATATCACCATTGAAAGAAAGGAGGGCAGCAAAAGGGGAAAAAAATGCAGTTTTAATTTTCACTGTGAAAAAAATAGATCAACTCCTACCTATTTTAGCCATGAAGACAAAAGCAGCAACATGCACTGTACCATGGCTGCCTGGTAGCACACGTGGTGCCAGGTGTTAGCTTTAATGTGTGACTTTATTACCTGCCCAGAGCTGGGGGTAGAGGGCAAGTGTTGGGGAGCAGTGTAAGGATCAAGGAGAATAACAGTATTTGGAATCAAGGTGATAAAAATGATTATTTTTTTTAAAGGGCACTTTTGTTTTGGATAAAACAGTGATTCCAAGTTACCTGTGTCACAAGCAAGTGCGTGTCAAATGGCAATGGGTTTGTCCTTTACAAAAGTGAATTTAACTCTGTTATTTTTTTCAGTTCTGTGTTTAATGTTTTGACTCATCCAAGTAACAGGGAAGCAAAGGATTTTGCTGTGGCCCAAAGCAAGAGCCCTGACTGAGCTCCTGGTGTCTTGGGGTAATGGGGACACTGAAGACGAAGTCTTATTTCTGCAGCCTTTGTACTTTGCTTCTTTAGACATTGCCTCACCAAAAATCATCCCCACCCCACTTAGCAGAGATGAATTGCTGAAGAATACCACAGGGAAAACCACTTTTAAACTATAATCCTGGAAATGCTTATGCCTGACCTGGCCTAGTGAAAACCATGTCTGACTCACAGGGTTACACAAGCACATTTGGTTCTGCACAAGAGCCATAACTTTTCCAGAACATCCGCTGCAGGTCTTAACAGGAGCTCAAAAGACATTTCAAGTGTCCGGGTAATGTAGTGAATAATAACGGTTCTGTGTATACTTATGTATACATGTAACAGCCATTTCATTACATTGGAAATAATATTTTTATTAGACAAAAAAAGTGATGTTACCTACAGCCTGAGTTCTCTGCTTGCCTTGCCTTGGAGCCTGTCTCATTCTTCGTGGTAGCCATCGTGAGAGATGGCAAGGAACCCGTCTGCTTCCCATCCACTTCATCAAAGCTTTCCCAGAGCTGCTGCTACTCACATACAAAGGTTCAATTTTATATTTATTTAGTGCCTCGCTACAGAGTCTGCCTTAGCTGGACAGATCATTTAGCTTCCTCCCACTGCCAAGAGATACCTCAACATTAATTAGCGAGGAGAGGGGGAAGCGCAATTTTCAAAAAAGGTAATGCAGTTACTGCCCTGGTTGACTTCAGAAAGCTCTTCAGGTACGCACTGCCCTTAAAGATAATGACAGTCAGTGTTCTTACAGTCCAGAAAAAAAACAGAAGGATAAGCTACCGACTTATTCTACTGTAAAATAATAGATTTCAGAAGAAGTGTCTGTAGAAATAAAACATATGTTTCTGTTTCAAATGACTATGACTTTATCAACTGCCACAAACACAGTCTGTTGTCCAGAAATAATTTATTCATCAACAATAAAACACTGAATAGAAAAAGCCTTTTAAATAAAACTATATATATAATGCTTTATTTTTTTATTTGATACTCCACAAAAAACACTACAGACAGTAACAAAATAATCCAATTAATCTTAAAAATTTCAAATTATAATTGTCACTTCATTTATCATGTTTTATTAACAATGCAAAGGTCATTTGTTTACATATTATAGTTTTACTTGATTTCATTAAATTCTTTCTTAAAACACTTGAAGCAATTTGTTGTTTGCCCCATAATTTATAACATATATAAGTATATCAATAAACAATATAACAGCTCTGAGAAAGATAATGCAGACTGTTCAATGGTAAGTAGTCTACCATAGGTTGTTTAGTGGGAGAGTGGGAAGAAATCACAACTGAATTGGGATAGAAGTCAACACATTGAAGAGAAATAATATTTGGGGAACAATTACATATTTTCCATTGCCCGTTTAGTAATGTGATCTCTTTCGAGCTCTGATTTCTCCTGTTTTAGATACTCTAGCACCTTTGCTAGCATATCCTCATCCAGATACTGCCTGCTTTGCGTGTCATCGGTTTCCCCAGCCATGGAAAGCCTTTTGCTGAGCGAAGCCAACTTCGCAGCCTCCTGCGGTCCCAGCTGGCTTAGGTGCTCCCTGATGGCCTGCTCCAGCCGGTCATCTTCCTGCAAGTCACTTTCAGAAGCTGGAACTGGGACTCGTTTCATCTGGTTTGTATTGATAACTTCAGGGTACTTTGCCAACACCTTTGCCAAGTAATCGGCCAGCTCTTCGTCCTTCTCGTTCAGTTTCTCATACTCCATTTGTCGCCTTTCCAAATCGTTCATCCAGGCAGCTTTAGGAAATGGGTGTCCTTTCAATCTTCTGGGAATGTAAGACAGTCTTGGCAAATCATTTTCTTGATTAAGACGATTTAGCAAGTAGGAGGGATTCTGATTAGCTAAATTGTCAGTTCCCAGAAGACTGACAATATCTTCGATATTGAGGTCTTCAGGTAAATTTTCTGGAATAACATTAAAAGGCTGCTTCATGTACCCGTTCTTAGAGTTTACGTTATTTTTAAATATATCACTCTGTCCTAGATTAGTTTCAGCGATCTCATCAAGGTCTTCTGGGAATTCTGCTTCCTGCTCAGCTTCCAACCTTTCATTCTGAAGCTGCTTTGGTTCTCCAGCTTTCAACATGTCTATTAAATCCTCAGGAGGAATTTGTAAATTCCTTGAGATTTCTATTAGCTGAGCTATGGACTGAGGATCAAGTTGCTTATCCAAAAATGTGGGCGCTCTTTTTTCCTCAAGTTCTCCTCCAGTCCTTAATTTCCTATTTGCAGCACCGCCCATCAGCCTCTTCAGGTAGTAATTCATTAGCTTTGAAACGTCCTCCAACATATGATCTTTATTGTCTCCTCTTCTTATTTCATCCTCAAGGAAGCTGAGTTTCCCTGATCTTTTCATTTCATCATCGATCTCCTCTTCATGTTTATCAATTTCCTCTTTGCTATTTTTTATCTCTTCCTGGGTCTGACTTTCCACTTTCTCCTCTATGGGATTCCAATCTTCTCCGCCAACCACATCTTCATAGGCAATGTTATTCACTTTATATACATCATCTTCATCATCCGTATACAATTTCTGGTCCTCATCCAGCCTTTCTTTCTTGTGGTTACTAGGTCCTGCCATCTTCCCCAACTCCTGAAACACAGACTCCAGCGTAGCAAGACTTTGGGGTGTGTATTGCTCTTCCACTATTTCATTAGTACGTTTGAAAGGACTGTCTCTTGAGCTGTCTTCATAGTGCCCAAGTGGCATTTTGAGATATTTTTGCCACCTCTCAGGCCACTTGTAAGCCTCATAATCATCAGTCACTCCAGCTGGAAAGTTGTTATCTGAACTCAGACCAAAAGGTTTATTCTCCTTTGGGCCAACTTTTGACTCTTTCTCAGCTTGTCGCAAGGCTTCCAACATTACCTTAACCCATTGGGACTCATCTTCAGTCAAAGAATCCCTTACATTATCTGGTAGGTGAACCTGATCTTTGTTTTCTTTCTGTTGCAGGAGATATGGGACACTTTGGAAAGAGTTGTAATCAGGGCTGCTTTCTCCCTTGTTAGTTTGCTTGCGAAGATCCTCTATGTATTCCAAAGCTTTGATCATATCAGGATTTGGGAACCTTTGTAAGTTTTTCATTACATAGTCTGGGTCTTTCTGAAGCAGCTGATGCTGCTGGAAGGAAGCTGCATCAACCCAACAGATTACGACAAAGAAAAAGGCGAGAGCACAGGCTGCTTCAAGCTGGAAGGCTTTAGTTTCTGCCATATTTAAAATATTTCCTTGAAATAAAGAAGAAGAAGAAAAAGGAAGCAGTTAACATATGGAGACAGACTTAGCAAACTGAGAAGCGAAATAGAGAATTTATTTTAAACTGGAACTTATGAAGAATACCACCAGTACTGCACATGCTTTTATTAATTGTGGAAACCTAATATACAGGAAAGCCATATATTTTGGTGGAAATCTGAGATTTTCTGAATTTTTGCTATGATTCCTCAGTTATACTGGAAACTATTGGTTTCCTATACCAGAACTTGCTTATCTCTATGTTCAATGTACTTTATGAACATCAAGTTTCCAATGCAGCACCAAAGTATAAAATACAAATCCAATGTAGCTCATGCAATGCCCATAGAGGAATCTAGATGTCATTTTGATCATGAAAATGAAGGCTGCAAATGGTAAAATCAGCATATCCATATATTTAAATGCTGCTTAAAATATTAATATTAAGACAGCATACAGAATTATTTTGTGAGAATGTTCCATAGGGAATCTGATTTCATGCCAGGGCAATATCACTGAATGGTGCTAGACTGCAGTAAAATTAATGTAATGAAGTGGAGAAATGGCCTATAAAATGACTTGCAAGTTTATTTCTGTCATTATTATTAGTGTTACTACTTCTCTTTTTGCTATTTCATTTAAAAAAATACATTATTTGTATTACAGCTGAATTTTATTTAAGAGGCTCTACAAGTGAACCATTTTCCTATGGGCAATGATCCCCTATATGAAGGACAAACTATAATTTATCCTACACGTACAATATAATTTTAGTGAATCCTTTAAAACCCATCTCGGAAATGAGCTCGAGTAGGTAGGTTCTGAGTGGTGATTTCATTCATTCATTCACTTCAGCAGAAATTGAATCAGGTCCCAGGATGGGCAGAAACGTGACCGTTGGCTAAATGAGTGAGCTAAATTCAGTTGGAACAGATCAGTAGAAGCCCATGTCTAGTCAGTCTGCCCAGCTTACGGTGGCCGACAATCAACTCTGGAACGGAAGTGGGAAAAACATGCCGCCGACTGAAATAAGAACATTACAGCACGGCTGAGTGTGAGGATACAGCTGCACAGGCCCCGTCCTGCGGGAGGCTGAGTACCCTCCACCCGGTGAAGGGAAAAACTGCCGCCACTTATTTCCTAGGAGATGCTCAGGCACTGATACACTGGGGCCATGAGGCAGGCTAGACTCTGTTCTGATCCAGTTACATTAATGAATAAAGTACAGTAATGAGAAAGAAATTATAAAGATAGAAACCACTTTGATTAATTGACCTATTTTGGTTCCTTTGGTTTCTGGCTTGGTCAAAGCATCCTGTTGAGATGCTGGTGATTCGTGACAGACTGAAAGAGCTTTGGATACCACTATTTCCCCGCTGGTCTAAGTAGAAAGCAAGCGTGAATATGCTCATTTCAGCTCACTTATAGATTTTTCTGCTCAGTTTTTGTTTCTAACAAAATGTGACTGACTTAAATAAATAATTAAAGCCCTATCCCCACACACCCCCAGTACCCCTGGGCAAGCTAACAGCCGTAATAGCAAACAATTTCCCCAAACATTTCTGACTACTCAAGCCTGGATACATTTGAGCACTGATTTCACACAGGATTAGTTCAGAAGAGCTGATTAGGTCCCACCCTTCAGATCTGAGTTTGCCCTGAAACAAAGCCAACCCAGCGCTTCATTTTCTGTCACAGAAAAGGCACCAGTCCTGTACATAAATGTGTATCTCCGGGAAAACAAAACAAACCAAAACACTTTGGGATTTATTGTAGCAAATCCATGAAATCAGGACTTTCTTTCCCAGCAGAGGCTGGTTATTAGCAGAGGTAGTTTGATTAAACTCTCTCCTTTCCGAGGGGTGGGGGAAGGGCGAGTTGTTCCACAATTATCTGCCAGGCACCTCCCACTCACAGACACCAGCACCTCAACTTCCTTTGCTGCACACAACTGTGGATTGTTACAGCCCTTGTAACAGCCGGCAGCATCCCGTTAAAATCAAAAATGCGCGGAGCCAGGCAAAGTTTAGTTTAGTGTTCCACGAGAACGTTGCCCAACTGGGTATTTCCTTTGCAGGAATAACATTGACTCCTCTCTACACAGTTTGGGTGCCTTTCTCTCTAGATCAGTTTTTCACTTCTGATTTATTAGGTTTAAGTAGATGACACTTGAAACCCTTGCCAAATGGTTTGGGGCATGGTTCCTTTTAAAAGCAGGTCATAAAATCTTGTCATTAAATATACTGCATTATCTAGGGTAAGAGGACCCCTTCCAGTCTTTCAGACTTTAATTCTGTATTTTTTGGAAAACAGAGGACATTTTAGACTATCCTTAGGATCTATGGTAAAGCATTCTCTTCTGTGCCTCTCAAAGGACAATATGCTAAAATGGCTGTTTTGTCTCCAGATGGCTACTTGTGAAGCCAGCCTAGATGGGGAGCGTATTTTCTCCTCTACTAGCAGCTAACAAACAGGAAAATCGTCTTTTGGCCAACAATTGTAGAAGTTCCTATTTACAAAATGAGGCAATCGAGTTCACAATTTAACATGTATGAAGGCAATGGAGACTGACAGAAGTTCCCCCAAAAAGCCAGACAAAAAAAAAAAAAAATCTCCTTTCTGGAATGTTTCCATGGCAGCAGTAATTTTCTCTCTCCATCTCTCTTAGCGGTCGTCTCTGATGTGAATGCAATGTTTCTAGTGAAAATTTGTGATGAAAACTCCTAAGCTTTCCTACAGATGAGTCCCTGCCCTGAGAGTCTGAGGGGGAATCTGACAGCAGTTTTCCATAAGGAAAATAAAGAAATACCTTGCACACTCTTCCTCCTATTTGCTTTTGCAATAAATAACACATAGCAGTAAATGAGCATATGCTCATTTTCATTGGAGCACGTCTAACCCTTTATCCTGTGCAAGGGACCCAAAAGATGAACAAAATAACAAGGGGGGAACCCCCCCAAGCCCCAGGGTGTTCTGACTGAAGATGGTGGCTGTTTGTGCACCTCTACATCTGGGCAGTTAGTCGGCTCGTGTGCGCGGCCAAGGTAACCTCACAGCCTGTATT